GGTGTGTGTAACACTTTCAACTTTTCAGAAGCTAGTGTACCGGCCACTTGGTCCCTCCATGTTGCAACTTGGTTACAGACCTTGTGACCCATGTCTTGGTTACAGACTTAAGGTTTAGGGACAGGGTGGGTGACACCTTGTTGTAAGACTCAGAACCTTGAGCACTGTTGTTTTTCTGGACATCTGGTTCTGAGACCTTTGCCTCAGTTCCTTGGAGCTTTCTCACAAGGCCAGATGCCAAATCACACAAGCACGGTCCCACTGCTGGCTCTGACATATGACAAACAAACAAAAAACAAAACAGGGAAAAAAAAAACACCAGGTTCAGGAACAACAGAATTTCAGTCTTTGTTTAAGTTCAGGAGTTACTCCTCTGGCATCCAGTCCTCGTATGGGCAAATAAGCAGAAGCTAAGATGTGGTCTCACCAGGTGCTTGGCTTGTGAGTAGTGTTTTGTTCTCCTGTCTACCATTTTTATTGAAATTGTGAAGTATGGTAGGTTTGCCAGATCACGCAGGGTGGTAGAACTATTGTTTTCCCCAGCTATCAGCTGTGTTATCCTTCAGCTACAGCTGTCTGGTGAGCTCCTTCCCTAGCGAGGTGAGACAGTTTGGTTTTGAATGCTGCCCTCTGGCTCAGGAGATCAGCTCTGTGATCTACTACCCACCCTGCTTTGGGGAGTGGCTTATCACCTGCCCACTCTCAGCCTTCACTGTCTTTCCTGTGTTTAATTACTGAGAGTTAGGTGCTAAGTTTAGCTTGCCCTGCCTCCTTTCTCCGGGACAGGTTCAGCATTCCACCCGCCCCCTCTACTGTCCATGTTTGATTACAGTTCACTGTTTGTTTTTTCAGTTTTGGGGGGAGGATCAGTCTTTCCAGGGGCTGTGCTGGTTTGTGTTCCCAGGGGAGGGTAGGGGAGTCCTGCATGGTGCACAGTACTCACTTCTTTGTCTGTCAGTTGATGCACAGGCAGGTTTGGAGTCTGTGGGTGGTGGCTGGGAGAAATGGTGCCAACTTTTCTCAATGGAGATTGGTGTGGGGAGGCTTTCCATGGGCTAGGAGTTCAGAATGTCGTAGAGTTTGATTCTGGTTGATGCTTTAGTTCTGCTTGATGGAGGAAGGAGAAGAGGAGAAAAAAAAAAAAAGGAGAGAGAAATTGCTGTGGTGGACTAGGGTTTCCCTGGGGCTGGAACTGCCTTGCTGGCTGTGCCATGGTTCGCAGCTGTCAGGTGCAATTAAAGGCTGATTTGAGGGTCAGTGTTTGAATTTTTTTCTGCACCTAATGTGATAGCAGTTACTAGTTTGGCTAGAAGCAGTCAGAATTACCCAAGTATGGCTCCAATGTCTCAGGGAGGTTTTTGGAGTCATGGAGCTTAGGCTTTCTGCTTCCATACCCTAGTCACCATCTTGGATCTGCCCACAACTATATTTTTTAAAAGGTGAAAAATTTATATGATCTGAAGAGAAACCTGTGTATATCTTTTTTTTTTTTTTTGAGTGCTTGGATCATAGGCATGTATCACCATGCCTAGGTTCATCACTTTACTTTTTTTTCTTTTTTTGGTGATACTGTGGTTTGAACTCAGTGTCTCATGCTTGCTAGGTAAGTACTCTAGCACTTGAGCCCCAATCCTTCAGCCCTTTTTTATAGTGGGCATTTTTAAGATAGGGTCTAGAGAACTATTTGCCTAGGCTGCCTTAGAACCATGATCCTCTTGATCTCTGCTTCCTTATAGGAATGAGCCTCTGGTGCTAGTCCATCACTTTACTTCTAATCTGTGTCTTAACAATTAAAATGAGTTTCTTGCAGAAAGCTTGCAGTTGGATCTTGTTTTATCTAGTCTGACAATTGTTACCAGTTAAGTCTTCTACCAACTGCTATGGTCTGAATGTTTGTGTACGCCCAGGCTCATGTGTTACCTAGGTGATAATGTTAAGAGGTGGGGACTTGGGAGGTAATTAGGTCATGAAGGTAGAATCCCCTTGAAAGGGATCAGTGCCCTTATAAAAGAAACTTCAAGTCAGGCGTGGCACACTACAATCCCAGTACTTGGGAGGCAGAGGCAGGAGGATTGAGAGTTCAAGCCTAGCCTCAACTACATTGCAGGACCCTACCTCAAACAAAGAATCAAACATAAAAGAGGATCCAGGGCCACAGGTATAGGTCAATGGTAGGGGTTTGCCTTGTGTGCACTAGGCTGTGGGTTTGATCCCCGGCACTGAAAAATAAATTTTAAAAGTTTTTTTTGAAGTACTGGAGATTGAACCTAGGGCCTTTGGCTTGCTAGGCAAGCACTCTACAATGTCAGCTACACCCCAACCCTTTTGTTTTTATTTTGTTTTTGAGATAGAATCTCACTAACTTTGCCTGGGCTGGTCCAAAACTTTCAATCCTCCTGCCTTTGCCTCCAAAGTGGCTGGGATTACAGGCATGAGCCACCAAACCCAGGTCTAAAAATATTTTTAGAATGGCTAGGGAGGTGGCTTAGTGGTAGAGTGCTTGCCTAGCATTCTTAGGGTCTGAGTTTTATCCCCAGCACCATCAATCAATCAATCAATCCCCAGAGGACTGCCTTGCCCCTTCCACTATTAAGAACACAGTGAGAAAGGGTGTTCATATGATCCAGACAGGGAGCACTCATCTCCCAGTGGGCTGATGTTGGACTTCCTAACTTCCAGAACTGTGGAAATAAATTTCTTTAGTTCATAAACTACTCAGTTTACAGTATTTTGCTGCATCAGCCCAACCTGAGTAAGACACCAATCTACATTTAAAGTAATTACTGACATTGTACATCTACATGTCGTTATTTACTTCCTGTTTATCTACTTGTTCTTTGTGCTGATTATCTTTTCTCATGGTTTCTTTTTGAACTAATTAAACCTATTTTATGGGCTAATTTTTCTTTTTCTTTCTCTTTTTTTTGAGACGGGATCTCACTGGGCAACCCAGGCTGGCCTGGAATTTGTGATCCTCTGCTTCCCAAGTGCTGGGATTACAGGTATGTACCACTGTGCCTGGCTCCATTTCATCTTTACCATGGGTTAATTATATAGTCATTGTTTTAATTTTCTTATACTTGCTCTAGTATTTAAAATATAAAATTTTAATTTATCACTGTCTACTTTTGAACCCTATTAAGACACTGTACTTTTTTTTTTTTAGTGGTACTTGGGTCTCACACTTGCTAGGCAGGCACTCTACCACTTGAGCCACTCCACCAGTCCTTTTTTGTAATGGTTTTCTGTTTTCTTTTTTTGATGTCTTCAAACTGCCTCCTGAGTAGCTGGGATTACAGGCCTGAGCCACAGGAGCTGGGTGACACTGTACATTAACATTCAATTCTGTGTTACTTGTCATAGTTTTGCCTCTATATTTGTTATATAAACCTCACAGTATAATTAAGTTAAAAGATTCAATTATCTTTTAATGAGATTAAGAGTGGGAAAACCATGTTTTATTTTTTTATTTTGTAAAACTGCTTTTCTGGTTAACAATGCATTTTGCTAGGAGGGAGACTAACTCCTACCAGTCCATCCTCTACTATCAACAATGCTTTACCTGTGGGGTACTTCAGATTTCAGTCAATCAACAAACCACAAAGGAGATGCGGACATTTCCAGAGTCCAAAACCATGTTCAAGGTGATTAATCAATGAAGCACTTCATTAACAGTTACTCATTTTTCATTTTCTCTCTCATTGTTCATTCATTCATCAAAAACGCATTAATCATTAACCAAGTGCCTACTCCAAGCTATGTGCAAAGAACACAAAGCAAAAAGATATATCTTCTCTGAAGGATCACCAGAGCAGATAAACTTACTAGGAAGTAGGAAGAGATTGGATCAATTTATAAAACACCTAATGTTTTCCTCCTCAGTGCCTACTATCATTTTTCTCTGATTCTTTATGTCCTAAATTATTATTACCATAATAACAATAATGCTGTTATCAGTACCATGATAGGCATGGTACTCCCTCCTCTTCCTTTTCATCTATTGAGTATTATCCAGATTTTACAGAGGAAATGGGCCCCAAAGAATGACTGCCTAAAGTCACAGCTATTGAATCAAAGATCTGAGACTGGATTTAATCCAGGTATGGACTGTCAGATACAAGCAGAAAGGTTGGTCCAACATTTCTGCTTCTCCTCTGATTCCCATAAGAGAGAGATCTGGGAGTACTGCAGGTGGTCAATGAAGATTTAAAGAATAAAAAAGGAAATAACGGAGTGAAAGAGCAACCTATAGGAGAAAATATTTTCAATCCATGTATCTGATAAAGGGTTGCTATTTAGAATACATAAGCAACTCCTACAACACAACAGTTTAAAAAAAAAAAGCTTAAAAATGGGCAAAATAGGGCTGAAGTGGCACAAGTTGAATGCCCTGAGTCCAAACCGCAGTACCGCAAAAGAAAGAAAGAAAGAAAAAGTTCCAGGGATCTGTTGCCCAGCAATATAAATATAGTCAACACAACTAACGTAGACACTTAAAATGGTTAAAATGCTGAATTGTGTTACATGCTTACTACAGTTTAAAAAGCGAATTTAAGCGGGGTGAATGTCATCTTATTTATTTAGCAAACTGAGGCAGGAGAACCGAGTTTGAAGCCAGGCTACGCTACATAGGCAACATGAGACCCTGCCTCAAAATCAACTTAAGAAAGAAGAATAAAAAAGAGGGCGGCCTCATGCTATGCACATTTGAATTTTCTTAGGTAAATCGACATTCGCCAACTCTTTTTTCGTCCTAGTGACCATACCGTAAGAGTCTCAACCTTCCTTCTCAGTCCTCGGAGAATTTCAGACGCTCCCGCCCCTCTCCTGCTCCGCCCCTTTCCGCCCCATCCATCTGCTCCGCCCACAACACGCCCCCTATTATCCCCGCCCCTCTACTGCTCATGCCCCGCCCACCCCGAATTTCCTCCAATTGCGCTCTTGGTCCCGCCCCCTTACTGGAGTCTCTTTCCTGCATCCGGGGCCTTTCCTGGACGCTGGCTCGGAAAGCATGGAGGTCGGGCATGAGCTCGCGACCGGCTCGAGCTGTTCTTCGTCTTCCCAGGACTGTTCCGGAGTCGCGGTGTCCAAGGAGCTACTGAAGGCGGGGAGCGAGGGCCGAGGAGGTGAGGGGCGGGTGGCGGCAGCGTGGGCACGTGCGGCGGGGGCGCGCGGCCGAGCAGTCCGAGTTGGGAGGCTCACTGCCTCGCCCTCCACCTGCGGCGGACCCTGGGGACCACGGGTGGGCTGAGGCAGCGATGGGGACTCCGGAAGTTCGCAGCGATGGGGACTCCGGAAGTTCTACCGTGCCACTGGTAATGGGAGCCCATGCTGTCCAGCGCCTGGGCTCGAACCCGGGATGCTCTAGGACGCAAAGGGGACCGGACGCGGGCTGTGGGACCGAAGCGACTGCTGCTAAGGAAGCCGGTGGACCTTATGCTTAACAGCCGCTCTTCCTATGCCCGCAGACCACCTCCAAGGGCCCTCTTGGTAGAGAGGAAATCCGCACAGATTCCAGACACTACGACATAGGATCCAAAAGCTTGGGTTCGAATCCTGGCTTCTGCAGTTACCTCTCGAAGCCTCGGTTTTCACATTTCGACAGCGGAGGTGGAAAGCACCTATAGAATTTTTGTGAGGAGGAGAATGCATAAGCGGGCTTGTAGGTATTTATTTTCAGAAAATACCATCTTGAAAAGGGACCCTCAGAACCCAGAGCAGCCGAAGGCATTATGTAGTGTTTACTATGCCCCAGGAATGAACAAATTCAGTCCATCAAACCCTTGCAGAACTTTGTTGCTATATCTGTTTTATAGATGAGGAAATTGAGGCATGGTGTGCTATACAATAAATTACTTTTTGGAGATCTTGTGGCTGGAAAATGGCAAAACTGGGGCAGGAATCCAGGCAATCAGGCCTCAGTCTGCTCTTAACATGAATCCAGACTCTAGGCTGTAGGAGTAACTATTCACCTCTGCTTGAGGATGAACAGGATTTTTGTGCTGGAGAGTGAAGAGATTAGAAATGGTGTTCAAAGCCTTGAGTTTGGAAAGTGCTGTTCTCAGAGCCCAGATGGGCTGGAGAGTGGCTTGATGGGAGGAGTTGGTGAGTGAGAGGCTGGAAAGGCGGGAGTGGGAGACAGAATTTCTCCAGAGGGCTGCTTTGTCTGGGTTGGGCACCTTCTCTGGAGGAGAAGTAACCAGGTAAGGATGTTTTACACATGAGGGAACAAATGCTCAAAGTGATTAATTTGCTTAATTTTGCATAGCTAGTAACACTTTTGGCTTCACTTACCAATCATATACTCTGCTTCCTTCCATTCTTACCATTACAGACCCACATTTGTCTATTGGTGAATTTCTAATCTAGAAAGGTGCAGTTTAATGTGCAGTTATTATAGATGAATAATAGAGATGAGTTTCTGATCTAGAAAGGTGCAAGCTAATGTGCATTGATTACTCACAGATAAATAATAGAGATGAATGAGACGGGCTTAAGAAAGGGAAGGTAAAAGCACATAAAGATCCAGGCTGGGCACTGTGTCACATGCCTATAAAGCTAGCCACTCTGAAGATAGAGATCAGGAGGATCATGGTTTGAGGCCAGCTTGGGCAAAAAGTTAGTGAGACCACCATTTCAACAAACAAGCCAGGCATAGTGGTACAGGCTTGTAGCCCCATGTTTGTAGTAGGCATAGGTAGGAGAATCAGAGTCCAAGGCTAGTCTAGGCAAAAGCTATGAGACCTTATCTGAAAAATAACCTAAAAGCAAAAGCGTTGGAGGTGTGGTAAAACCCTTGGGCCTGAGTTTATACTCCAGCACCACTGAAAGGAAGGAGGGAGGAAGGGAAGGAGGAAGGAATGAAAGAGGGAGTAAAGGAAGGAGGGAGGGAGGGTAGGGAGAAAGGAAGGAAGGAGGGAAGGAGGAAGGAGGAAGGAATTAAGGGTCTTTTTTTCCCTTGCAGAATAGGAAATGATCGAGACTTAAGACTGGTCTTGCGAGGTTTGCTTTTGGTCCTCCTTTTTTCTTTTTGTGTTGGAGGGTAAACCCAGGGCCTTCCACATACTGTGGAAGCACTCTTCCACTGAGTGACACTTCCAGCTCAAGGCCCTTATTTTGTTATGCTATGATACATTAAGTGTATGTGTTTTCAGGTATATGGGACAGGTTGCTCATCAACTCTAAGCCTAATTCCAGAAAGACCACTACTCTTCAAACAGTTCGGATAGAGAGGAGTCCACGTGAGTACCTCCTTCCTTCCCTTGTGCTCCCTGATGTTGAATTTTTACCAATTAGGCTGTTAGGACAGTCTCTGCCCTCATGGTCAGAGCTACAGAGTCCAGTGGAGCAAGTCTTAAACTGTGAAAGTCAATGCCTTAAAAGGTATCTTTCTGAAAAACTTTCTAGGATGACTATTCAGAAGCCCAGAACAATTATTTTTGGTGGCTGGGCATGGTGATACAAACCTATAGTCCCAGCACTTAGGAGGCTGAGGTTGGAGGATCACTTAAGTCCAGGAGTAAGTGATCAAAAAAGAAGAGAAAGTAATTATTTTAATCGCCATGGGAAAGTTTTTTTAGAGGTTACTAAGCCCCAAACTTAATGCACATGCATGGAAAACACCACTATAGCCCACTGAATTGGACAGTTACTTAGCTGGTAAATGTTACAATCCAATAACAGGGCCATTTCTCTTCATTATTTATTCTGTAATTTTGCTGTACTGTACACTGGTATATTCAGCTCTCAGACCTTGATCAGATGGCTTTCATGTAATAATTTACTGGGTTTTTTGTTTTGTTTTGTTTTGTTTGCAGTAGTGGCATTTGAACTCAGGTTGTACATCTTGAGCCACTCCTCCAGCACCCCCACCCCCTTTTTTTTTCACGTGAAGGATCTTTTCAAGATGAGGTCTTGTGTACTATTTGCCTAGGCTGGCTTCAAACCGTGATCCTCCTGATCTCTGCCTCCTGAGTATCTAGGATTATAAATGTGAAATACTAATGCCTGTCTAGTGGGGTTTTTTGTTTTGTTTGTTTGTTTGCTTGATTTTTGAGACATCATCTTGCCCAAGCCTCCAGTTTGCAATCCTCCTGCCTCCACCTCCCAACTACTGGGATTATAGGTGTGTACCACCATGCCTACCTAGTTCAAGATTTTCTTCTTTTATCACTGGTTTCATCACTTCAGTGGTGATGTGCCCCTATAGTTTTTGTGATTGTTGAGTGTGGGGTTCATTAGACTTACTGGATCTGTGGGTTTATAGTGGTAAGTTTTCAGTCATTTTTTTTTCAATTTTTTTTTCTGTCCCTCTGATTCTTATGAAAGGAATCAAATTACACATAATTTTGCCAATTGAAGTTGTCCCAGAGCTCACTGATAACTTGTTTGATTTTTTTTCAGTCTTATTTTTTGTGTTTTATTTTGGGTAGTTTCTTTTGCTAAATCTTCAAGTTAGTAATCTTCTCTGTTGTTTAACCTACTGTTAATACTATCATAAGTCAGATACACTTTCCTTCTCCAGAAGTTCATTTCAGGGCTTTTTTGTGGTCATGGCTTACTTGTATTTTTATTATAAAAAACACAAGACAAGAATTTTAAGAACTGATGAATATAAATCAGTCACAATGAGTAATTAAACCCATTTTCTGTATACAAATACTGAAGTTCTGAAAGTGTAATGTCCAAGGTGAGACCCATTCATGTTTTTGTTGCTGATATAACCAGTTATGTTTGTGCTTTGCTTTGCTTCCTTGAACATACGGTGTGTATTTATAATAGGTGTTTTAACTTTTTTTTTGGTTTTAATGTTTTCATTGTTAGTTTTATCTGTGTCATTTGATCTATTTCTATTGTATTTTTCCTACCTTTTTTGGGTGGAGGGCAGTACTGGGCATCAAACTCACGGCCTCAGTGCTTGCTAGGCAAGCTCTGCACTACTTGCACATTTAGTTTGTTTTTCAAATAGGGTCTCACGTTTTTGCCCAGCCTCAGAATGCAGTCCTCCTACCTCCACCTATGAGTAGCTGGGATTACAGATGTGTGTCACCATGGCTGGCCCATGTTTTTCTATGTTTTGTGGATTATGTTTTTCCTCTTATTGACATGTTTGGTAATTTTTTACCGGATAATGGCCATTTTTGACTTTTATGTTGTTTTATGGATTTTCTTTTATTTAATTTAGTAGAGATACAGCTGTCCTAGCTTCAGGGTTTAGCACATACTTTCCTAAGATACCAAAGAAATACTTAGCTTCTGAGAATCATGGTTCTGGCTACACATGTTGGTACTTGTTCTGTTCCACTCGTCATATTAGTTAAAAACAAAAGCAGATCAAGATCTATCTGGTAACAGACTTGAATCTGAAGACACGGAAATAGCTTTATTTTTATCTGTAGTTTCTCTTTCTGTGTGTCTGAGGAAGGATGATTGCTAACATTCATTTGCTAGTGTGTGCCAGACATTATGCTGGGCCTTGAGAAATACACAGTCTCATTCATCCAGCAGCCTTGTTTTATGGTTAAAGATCCCTTTAATTGTAATGACCTTTATTGTCATTGTCTTTTCTTCTTCCATACTCTGGATATTTTAGTCATCTGTTGTGTAGCTGTAGCATTGACTTAGCAATTTTTGAGAGCCTGTTAGGTGCACAGTTGTGTGCTGGTCCTCTTTTGACAGATAAGCTGTTAAATATTCCTTGTTTGTTGACTTCTCTCTACTTAGCACAATGCCTGACAATTATCACCCCTCTTTTATAGATGACTACAAGCAGGTGTAGAGTGGTGAAATCAAATGTATTAGTTAGGACTCTTAATTGTAAATGACTGACACTCAGCATAGATTGTCTTAAGAGAAGAAAGAACAAAGAGCTGGGCTTAGGATGGCTTACACTTGTAATCCTAGCTATTTGGCAGCACTGGGGTTTGAACTCAGGACCTCACACTTGCTAGTCAGGCACTTTACTGCATGAGCTACTTCAAGCCCTTTTGTAATCCTAGCTATTTGGGATTGAGATTGAGAGCTTCACTGGTGGTTTGGGGCCAGCCCAGGCAAAAGGTTAGCAAGACCCCATCTCCTCCAGTAAAATGCTGGGGATGGTAGCATGCCTGCCATCCCAGCTACACAGGAACTGTAAATAGGATCACTGTTCAGGCCAGCCCGGACATAAACATGAGACTCCATCCCAAAAATAACCAAAATGAAAAGGCATGGCTCAAGTAGTAGACCACCTACTTAGCAAGTGCAGTGCCTTGTGTTCAAGTTCAAACCCCAATACCACTAGAAAGAAAGAAACAAGAAAATATTTTGGCTTGTTTTAGTGGGATAAAAGAACCCAGGGGCAGGAACTTCAAATACACCTGGATCCAGGTCTCATTGCATCAGAGGTCTCCTGCTGTGTATCTTCCATTTCTGCTTTTCCAGGTATTAGCTTACTAGAGCAGGCTCTCCCCCAGACTGTGGCCAGTTGGCTGGTTTATCAGAAGCTCCAAGCTTACCTTCATCAGCTTACTCAGTCATTCACTTAGAAAGAAGAGTTCTCTTTCTCAGCAGTTCAAACAAAAAGTCCCAGACTGATTGCTTATTGGCCTCATTAGAACATTGTGTAACTATGTATACCTTGGAAGAAATTACAGTGGGAAAGGTTGTGGAATATGTAGGAATGTATGGGATGAGGGACAGGAGTGACCCACGCTTAAAAGGAAAGTCAGTGTAGGGGGTGGCGGCATACACCTATAATCCCAGCACTTGGGAGGCTGAGGCAAGAGGATCTCGAGTTGGAAACCAGCCTCGGCTACATAGGGAGACTGTCCCCCCTTCCCCAATCTCAAACAAACAAACAAATGAAGCAAAAAGGAAGGCCAGGGTTATGTGTCAGAAGAAAGAGGAACAGATGTTGGGCAGGCAACCACAGCCACTACTTGATTAAGTTGCTGAAGCAAATTCAGATAGTAAGAGGTAGAAATGGGATTCTATTAATAACCACTTCAGTTTTAACAGAAAGCCTCAGAGCCTGGTACACTTAACTGTTAATTCATAGTGCTTCCTTATTTAGTTAGTGTTTGTTGAGTTCCAGCTTTCTAAGAGTGTACAGTTGTAGGGATGTATGAGAAACATAAATAAAATATTCTGAGAAATGAGTACTAAATTGCGTAGTATTGCTGCTTTAATAATGCAGAAGAGGGATTGAGGGTGAAGGTCAGTGGTGGAGTGCTTGTCTAGCATATGCTAGTCCTGGATTTGATTCCTGGCACCACCAAAAAAAAACAGGACAGAGGATAGAGATTAAAATGGAAGAGAGTCCACGAAGATTTATTATTTGTTATCATTACTGTTAATTCAGAAGTGTTTTACAAAGAGGCCTGTATTTTAGAATTTACTAATATAAATGTTGCTGTACCCTATTTTCTCTCCATAGTGTTAGATCAAGTTCAGATCTTCCTCCCACAGATGGCCCAGGCAAATGAAAAGCTGCGAAAAGAAATGGCAGTTGCTCCACCTGGTCGTTTCAATATTGAAAACATAGATGGGACTCTTGGAAAAGTTATACAAATGGTAACTGCTTTGTTTTCATTTCATTCAGTGAGGTTATCTGTGTACTGTGTCACCTAAAAAGAATGGGAACCCCCCCAACAAAATAATAGCAACAATAAAAGAAGAAAAGAAAAGAAAAAAAAGTAAAAAATAAAAATGAAAAAGTAGAGCAAGACATTTTCCATTTTATTTCTAAGTGTTGGTTTTCTTTGTGTGAGCTCGAGTTTCCAGTTCTGCACAGATACATCATCATCTTATAATTAAGGCCTCAATGGTCCATAGCTTCCCTGGGTGGAGTTTAGGGATTTAGTCAAGTGGAGTCATAGGAGGGCTTTTTCCAAAGCAAATATTGCATTTGTTATCTTGAAGCATTCATTTATTAAACGTCTAAGTGGAATTTTCTTTTTAACTTCCACGTCCTAAAAAAGTTGTAATCATAGTCTGATTCATTGAATGTGAGAAAGAAATGTGTTTATAAGAATTGGTTCCATGAGCTGCTTATGAAAATCGTCTTACTTTTATACTCGTATTTTATTTCTGTAATAGATTTTCCTGTATAACATGCTTTTTCTTTTAGTTATGTGTCCATACAATGTTTGGGTCATTCCCCCGTCCCCCTACCCCCGTATAGCATTTGTATCTGGTCAGCTCTGCCTTTGGAATATATCCTAAATCCAACCAATTTGGAAAACTTCCATCGTTCCCTCTCTTGGTCTCAGTAATTATGGTCTCTCCTTTGGACTATTGTAGTAATTTCCTAACAGGTCTCTCTGTTCCGCCCTATCTTTGGAATCTGTTTTTACAGTGTGTGGGAAGTCCTTCAGTAGGCCCTGTGGTTCTTCCTCCAGCTCTGTCTGACCTTATTTCTATACTGTCCCTTTGGCTACTGCTTTCTGACTCCAGTGCTCCACTCTAGGCCTCTCCCTTGTTACTTTCTCACTTGGAATGTTTGCCCACATTTCTGCATTGGGATCCCATCTCTTCAGTTCTCACCTCATTAAGAGACCTTCCCTGATGGCCCTTCCTCCTTTATTTTTCTCTACTTTCACTAGCCTACACTTTGCTTTGTGTTTTTTTGTATCATGTTTCCTTCTGTTCTACAACGGGGGTCAGCACACATCTCAGTAGGCAGCAAGATGATAAACCCTCTGGCTGTGTTGTAACTACTCAACTCTGTTGTTGCATAATAAAAGCAGCCTTGACAATACATAAATACATAAGCAAGGCTTTTCAGATTTATGGTTACCAGAATCTCATATGATTTCATATTTTACCAAGTACTAGTCTTTTTTTTTTTTTCCCCCTCTTAAGCCCCATAAAAATATGGAAAGCACTATTAGTTTGTGAGCTGAACAAAAGCAGGTAGCAGGTGTGATTTGGCTTGCAGGCTTTAATTTGCTGGTCCCTGCTCAGTGAAAACTTTCTGAAAGCAAGAGTTTTGATGTTTTGTTATTAAGTCTGTAGTGCTCAGTGTGGTGCTTGACTTCTATTAATATTTGTAGAATAAACATTGTTGAATGCATTCAGGATATATTAGGCTGTGAGAAACTTTTATTTAGACTTCAGTAAAAGGAAATTATCCAAACCAGCCCTTTTGGTGGATACTGGTAACCAAAAGCTTAAAAATGCCATGTTAAAAACATTTCTTACCCTTTATGCTTTGGTATTTACTCTAAATATTGGTTGTTCCTATGTTACAGATTTTTTTAGAGAGCTGCCCTAAAATAGATTTCTCAACTAATACTTTTTACAGGATGTGGCCTTATTTGAGATGAATCAGTCAGATTCAAAAGAAGAGGATGGTTTAGAAGAGAGTTCACAAAGCAGTTCAGAGGACAGTTCAGAACTCGAGGATGAAGATAACAGCATCCCCTGTGAAGTTACCGTAGATAACATCAAACTTCCAAATTCAGAAGGTGGAAAAGGCAAGATTGAAATTTTGGACAGTCCAGCAAGTAAAAAAAAGAAACAATGAAATAAATGATCTGAATAGAAACGGGTGATACATATCTGCTAATTCTGTGAAAAAGATTGTGGTTCATTGGCTGTTTTGCATTTCAGGTACCTTTGGTGCTATTTTGTGCTAAAAGGAAACTTGGAAGAAATTAGACATAACAGTTTATTTGCGCAAAGAACAATTCACTAATCTGACAACTATCAAAACAAGGGTCAGAGAGCTTGACTCTGGTGACAGGTGTACTGTCACAGCTGGAAAGGGCAAGAAAGTGCAGGAGCAGGTCATTGGAAATGGCCGGGCGTGCGCCTTCTGTGGACAGGGTCTGACCAGTTTGGAGTGCCCGAAATGCAGCTGTTGGTTACAAAAATACACTCTTAAATTGGGTTTCAGTTTGTTTATGTCCTGAAGCAGGGTGCTGTTTGTTATACAGGAACTCACAGTACTGGAGACAGCCTCAGGATAATGGCCTCCTGCTTATTATTAACGTAGTGGTATTACATTTATTTTCAGAGAAACCAAAGCTGGCTTTTCTTTTTGTGTGTGTGTGTGGTTTTTTTTTTGTTTGTTTTTTGTTTATTTGAAACAGGTCTCACTTATTGCCCAAGCTGGCATCAAACTCATGATCCTCCTGCCTCAGCATCCGCAGTGCTGGGCTTTACAGGTGTGCGCCACCATCCCTGGCCTGGCTTTTAAGTATTTTAAATATGTAGCACTTTGACATCTTCCAAGAGTGGACTGATCTTTGCTCTTATGCTAAAGAGACTGAGAAAGCTAACATGGTGATGAGTGAATTTTTTGCCATCTTCTTTCCTCAGTGGATTTCAGAAACACTGAATTTACTTTAAAGTAAAAATACAAATCAGCAGTTTGTTTCTGTTTTAAATTATTCTGTGGGTAAAATAATAGGTTGTTTTTTTTAAGTTTTAGTAAGAATTTGTTTTAGTATAATAGGAGAAAGTATAGACAAAGGGGTGTGGAGTGAAAAAGAAAAGAGAGAGATACTTCCTGTTCCTCATGCAGGAAATGGGAGCAAAGACTCCATTTTTGTTGTTGTTGTCTTAGGTTACTATAAAGTCACATTTATTTGTCACTGTCAAAATAGGTTCAGTGAGAAAGAAATTTCGTTTTTGTTTTTTGAGGCAGGGTGTCACTGTGTAGCCCAGGCTGGCCTCAAATTCACAATCCTCCTGTCTTAGCCTCCCAGGTGCTGGGATTACAGGTGTGTACCACTACACTAGAAAATAGTAAAGAGAAAATTTTTTCTTTACATGGAAAAGTTACTTATATGTAGCTATCTGTACACATACCTAATTTCATTTACAATGTACGTATTCCTTTGTGGTTTGAGCTGGAAGACTGTTGCTCTGTGGTATAGTCACACTGCCAGTGACTGCAGCTATATAATGCTTGTATGATTGACTAGTCGGAAACACTGGTTTATTCATGTTTGAGGTACTGGGGATTGAACTCAGGGCCTCATACTTGCTAGGCAAGTGCTCTGCTATTTGAGCCATTTGCCCCCTCTCCCCCTCCCTCCAGTACCAGTTCTTCTGCTTTTAGTTTTTTTCACATAGGGTTTCCCGCTTTTGCCTGGGCCTCAAACAGGGACTTCCTGCCCCCTTCCCAAGTAGCTGGGATTTGTGCCACCATGCCTGTCTAAAACTTGTTTTTTAGATGCCTTTTCCCCCGTAATGCTCCTGAACTAAATCCATCTGCTCTCCCCATACAGGACAATTAAGTTGAGAGACAATGTGTTGAGGTAAGAAAGGTGACTTTATTTGAAATCTGGTTAGAGATAAAGATAGGGACCCTTGTCACAAAGCCCATCTTACCAGGAAGCTGATTTAGCAGTGGCTTCTCTAGGTAGGTGATGGGTGTTCCCAGGCTGGCAGTGCCTTCTCACAGCAGGGCTGGGTGATGTATATCAGATCCTTTACCTAGTCAGGAGGTGGTTTTCCATTCTGGAGATCTCCAAAGCAAAATCGCTACGTCCTCAGTCTAGTCTGACACTAAATAATACAGTTTACCCAGTGGCCAGGCTAGATGGGGGATAGCCGTACCAGACCCTGTTGCTGGTGCCACTCCTTAGTGCTCAGTTTCAGTTTATTACATATTGTTAACTCCCAGTAATGAATGAAAGCATCCTTAATGCTTGGCTTCAGTATCACAGGACACAGAGGAGGGCGTACTCCAAAGAAAGGCAAGCATTGGATTTCCCTTTCAAAGGTCAGAATGGCTCTGTCACAGACCAGCTACCTGGGGTCTATCTGTTCCAGGCTTGGGGAATCAGCTGAGGCCTTTGACAGCTTAAGGTGGTGGTATGGGGTTCTGGTGCTCAGGGATTGCACCTGAGACCCAAAGTGTTCCAGCTTTTGCGCCTTGGTCTGGGTCCTGCTGTGGGAGAGCCTGCCACCTAACAGGTGATGACTTTACTCACTTTCGCTGCTCCTTGCTAAATTGGCTGCTCCTGTCAATTTTGCCTCCCAGGTGACTTCTGCTGCCCCTCCACTGCTTTTGACTCTGCCACTTTCACCCTGATGCTCTTCCTTCCAGTGGCTCCTGCCCTGCTGCTATCCTCACTGCCCCCGTTCCACCCCCTCCCCATGCCACTTCTGTAACTTCATGAAGCTGAGTAGGATGTTGTTCCTGGGATCCTCTGGAGGCTGAAAGTCTCTGACCATTCTCAGGACCTAGCTCCTCTGAGGCCACTGGCCAAAAAAACCCTATGTCATCATTACATTAGTATGAAGTTGTTGAAGCCTGGAGGTTATAAACTTCTGTAAAAGGTTAATGATACAGGGCTCCAAAAGCCAGAAGGGAGCCAAGTTTTGAGTAGGAGCTTGAAGGGGGTGGTGGGTGTGTGGTGCTGTGTATCTCCCCTGGGCATGGCTTAATTTTGTTCCTATACTACCACATTGCATTCTGAACCTGGCTGAAAATAATTTCAAGAGGACTTAGTTTCAGTCTTGTTCCAAGAGCAATTCTGATATGGAGAAAGGCCATGGGAAATAGTTTTACCTGGGATTCTTGGGCCTCCTGGCAAAGCTTAGCCAGTGTCCTTTTTATGCTTTGATTGATTATCTTGACCTTCTTAGAGGACGGTGGGAGGGGGTGCTATGAGTATGAGGCACATATTTAATACCTGGAGTAGCCACCAGCCCCTGAGTGATCTTGGCTGTGAAGGAAGTTCCCTAGATCATTTTGAAGAGATTGGGCTAGTCCAGATCTGGGAATTACCTCTTTCAGTAGCCATTTGTAAACCTCAGTGGCCCATTCTGTATGAGTGGAAAATGCCTCTACCTAGCCTGTAAAGGTATCAATAAACACTAGAAGGTTTTTATAATCTAATTTTACAGGCATCGGATAAAATCCATCTGCTAGTCCTCTCCTGGATATATTCCCCTGATGTGGAACTGGCTGGGCTGGAGCGGGAGGAATACGGTATACCTAAGCGTTGTTATAAGGCACACTTTGCACACTGTAGTCACCTAAGCCTCTTGCCTATAAGTCAGCAATGGAGTAGGTACCATTGTGTCTTGCCCTTAGCGCGTTACTATGTTAGGCCCTAGGTTGTCCACTGGCTAGCCTGGGGGAGGATCTGGCCCCTCATGTGTCCACCATTGCAAAGGGATCTTTTGATATCATTCCTTAGTGAGAGCTTTCTTGTCCTGCTCTGATTACTAAGGGACCCCTTGTCTCAGGGACTATTGATTAAGATGATCAATAACTTTTGGTTCTATTCATGTTGTGGAATATTCATGCAGGGAGAAGGGGACACCAAGGCTTTTTGGGAAGCAATGTTATTGATGTAGCAGCAACAGCTCAGCGGATTCCCATCTGAGGGCTGAGCCCTGAGAACAAAGGGGCCTTGCCTTGTATACCCTTGCAAGCCAGTTACAGAGATGAGAAGCAAAGTCTAACCCGTATATGGCTACACGTAATTTCATTGGCTACTCATTCCCAGAGCTATGCGACCATTTTCAGGTTCAGTTTCTTTAAGTTTCAGTTTCAAGTTTCGGTTTCCTGCCATGCTGTCCCCTCCTCCCCACTACATAATCCCCCCTTTGCTCGGACCCATCTAGGGTCAGTCTGATTTAGGGTTTTGTATTTCCACAGCATCATTATGTGGGCAGCTGTTTTCCTTTCTGTAGTGGCCTCCAAAGTGGTCCTGATAGACCACAATACCAAGAGGACCAGGCAGGGTAGTATTAAACATGCTTCTAAGACAAGAGCCATCGCCCCGTTAGGGCCTTGGATCTGCCCAAGGCAGAGAATCAACCTCCAAACAGGCCATTGGGATTCTGTCTTCTCCAAGTCTGGACAGGGATGGGCAATCTCCCTTGTTCTGTGATTTCATCTGTGACCTTTCCTTTGTCATCAATTTGTAAACAGCAGTTACTTGGATTGAATTTTCTGCATACACCTCCCTTGGAGGCAAGTAAATAGTCTAAGGCTAGGCGGTTTTGATATATTGCATTGTATATCTTGGTATGCTGTTTGGCCAGTATGTCAGGGCTCTTAACATTTTCATTAGTTATAATTTCAGCTACTGCCTGGAACTGAATAATGCAGTTGATCATATAAATCGGGGTGCGATAGCCTTCGGATCCATCTTCTGCTAAGTGATGGGACCATAGTATTGAATGATTGGCTCAGGAGGCCATTAATTATCTTTCCAATTCCAATTCATAAGGCACCCTGTCTTTTTCTATTTACCTTTTCCTCATATATGGAAACTCTCAACTTTTCCCCTTGTGTGAGGGGGAGCAAGAAAAAGGATGGCCAGATTGTGCCCAGTACACAGGACCCGAACCATCTGCTGGGTAGCACTGTATAAGCTTGCTTCCCACAGATCCAACATAGCCTGCTGGGTGACTGCCAGTCTATGTTCGCAGTGAGATTGTCCCAAGCTGCCTGGAGATCAGAGAAGTTGGCTAACAGGTGGAGCTGGGGTTCTGTGTGGTTTGGAGTTCTCCACCATTGGGTCTTCTGAGAAGTGTCATTGTAAAACTTCTGTCCCAAACAAGTTAAATCCCCTA